AAATTATTTCTTCTTCAGTTACCTACTCCATATAAATGTCTTTGTAAAAGTCAGTTTATAGCAATTTAGTATCAACCACATTATTGCCACCTACAAGCCAGATTCTGTGAAGGTGATGGGGGACACAGAATTCAACGTACAGACAAGGCTCTATAGAGAGGGAATCAGAGCAGCTGCCGGTGTAAGACACCAAAATGAACATAGCATAGCATAGTTCTTCATAATTTTGAAACGTGGGGATCCTAATCTCAGGAAGAAGGGAGAAAAAATTGCATAAAGGCCAGATCAAAATAATCTTGATACATTTTTTTTTTGTATTGGTGATTCTGGTCATTTGGTTTCAGTGCTGATTCTAATATCTCTGACATTCTCATATATACAGCTGAGCTATTCTGACATGGGGCTAGATGCATGGAAATGATCCTAATACTGGGGGTTATTTCTCACTGAAGCATAAAACTTTATGCTTGTATATCTAAGCTATACAAATGGATTCTGAAAGATTAATCAAATGATACTAATATGCTGTGTTAAGCTTTCTTCCCATCCAGAAGATTCCAGTAGCTCATTATGATCCAGCTTAAAGCAGATTTTTCCCTTGTGGATATCAGCCAGAAACTTAATGAGCAGTTGGGTAGAGAGGGTAGTCCACTGGAAACAGTAATGAAACTAGCTCTATTTGTTGAATTTGAAAATAGGTTGTGGTACTGGAAGATAATCTCAGATCTCAGCTCACCTGGGATCTGCCACTCTTACCCAGTGAAGACCTAGTGAAGTTCAGTGATCTGCCCAAATACATGTGTGGAGTTTGGTCAGATCATAGGCTAGAGGGAAAATCTTTTGTCTAAGATTGGACCACACCGCTTTAATTTTAAAGTATTTAAAACCTGACTTTTCATACCATAGTGATGCATGTATACTCATTTTTATAGCAGCACAATTGCCAGTAGGCAAACTAACAGCCTAAGTGTTATCAACAGATGAATGGATAAAGAAAATGTGTATATATACACAATGAAGTTTTATTGACTCATAAGAAAGAAATAAGTTATGTAATTTGTAAAAAAAAATAGATGGAACTAGAGACAATCATGTTAAGCAAAATGTGCCAAACTCAGGTCAAGGGTCATATGTTTTCTCTCCTATATGGAAACTAGACAGGAAAAAGGAAAAGATAGGTGGAAAAGCAAGAATTGTGTGAAAATCAAAGGGAGATCAGTAGAGGAAAGTGACCAGGGGGTGTGAGGAGGAAAAGAGATGAGAAGTGCTGGTAAGGGATATTGGCCAAATTATATTGTTATATTGTGTGCATGAAACAACAAATTTCATCATTATGTAAAACTATAATATACCAATAAAAAATGTAGAAAGAGGGAAAAAAAATCTTGACTTTTGTGCCAGTGCATGTCCAGAAGTCCATCTTCTCCTTTGGCCAAATTGAGAGAAACCTAGACTCCATTTCAAAGCTTTCCAAAAGAGAAAATATAGATGTGGCAGCCCATCCCAGGATTTCACAGCTTTCCCTGCAGAGACTATCTATGTGCTATTTCTTTCCTCCAAAATCATTCCATAAAATGCCACTATATATTACTTCCTTTGAGCAAATATGGATTTTAATCATCCTGTTTTTATTTGATTTTAATCCTCTGAAGTTCTGCCTGCTCCATTTGCCTCAGTTAACACACAAAAACTTCACTTCTAATGAAAGTCAAACTTCTCTTGGTAGTCAGGCATTTTAGCATTTTAAGAAGCTAAGTAGCTCCATCCTCATTAAATTAGGCTCAAATTGGAGAAGAGAATTACATACTTAAAAACACAAATGCCAAATGATGGATTAATGTTATACCTTAATGTAACACATTGTGACATGAAGTAGGAGCATTAGACCAATTAGCAAGCGAGTCCTCTCCTCGGGTTCATCTTTTCTGCTGGATATGTAGTAAAAGGATGGCAATTTGAAGAATGGCATTTATCAAGCCCCTTCGGAAAGAAAGTTTCCCCTTTAGTGACATGACCTGAATTTATTGAACAAAGGCAGCACCGTATCTCCTGATAACATAGCAAAGACTCACTAAAAGTACTGCCACTGCATTGACATTTATGCTTGTGACCTTATTTCTAAAAAAAATATTGAAATCCATTGTGATTGTGTCTAAACTGTGGTTTTAATGTGGTCTAGAAATCTATCTCAATTTTTTTCCTTGAGAACTAGCAAATCCTAAGTGGTGTCATTTAGCAGGGGTTTATTATTATTATTATTATTATTATTATTATTATTATTATTTGCATATTTCCCCTGTCCCTTGCTATTCTGGTCTTGCTTTCATGTCAGTCTGATTGTAACAGAGAGAAGGGGGCAACAATAAATCTAGCTCCTCCTGGTGCAAATGCCAAAGATACTGTCAGAAATAAAATGTATGGAGAGATATGTATGGGGAGTGTGGGTCAGCAACTTGCTGTGGGCGGGGAAGGGATGGTTTTCTGCTAGGGTAAAATGGAAAAAATCCTGTCACTGGGTTTAAATTAGCAGAATCTGCCTGGAGGGGAGCCATGGTCTTTGTGTGGCTGATTAATGTCAGCCTTGTAATGCAGCATTCTAACAACAGGGCTAGCCCGCTGAGCAGGGCATCTCATGCTTAGAGCATCAGAGTCCAGCCAAGTGCCTCTGAAGAGATCTGGAAGGGAAAGTGGCAGGCCTGGAACACAGGCGATGATATTTTTAATTATACTGGAGCTATTTGTCCTAATGAAGGAAGCACAGGCAGCCACTAAATGTACTTTCCTTTCAGGCTCTGCTGCTGTAAAGAGTGGTAGAGTGCAAATCCAACCCCCTGCTTGTTCTGATTCAACCCTGTTTCAGAACAGTGTGTCAGAAATTACCTTCCTGCATAAACTAATCTTTGAGGCTGAATAGGTGAGAGATCCAGGTACACATCTCCTAAAATCCCTAAAAAGTTCACCCCAGGGACATTTTTGGTGAATAATTTAATCATGCAGCTACTCTAGAAAACAGCCAGAAAGCATCCCTAAGACTTCTGCTCTAGAGCCTTATCTCAGGGGACTTTAAGAGAAAAAGAAAGCCTTCTTGTTTTCAATACCAGCACAAATAAAATCTGAGGTTGATGTTTATATATTACAGTGTAGTTGTTTTGAAAGAGAAATAAAAGTAAATGATGAAACTTTGGGGGAAAAAATGGACTCTCTGGAATGGAACCAAGAAAAAGCTCTCTGTGTCAACCTTTTGGTTAAAGCCACATAATACGATTTATGTCATCCCCTTCAGATATATGATTTTATTGGTTTGCTGGGAATTTGGGTTTAAGGAAAATTGTATGTTGGGAGAGTAAAATGTTTAACTCTTGTTGTTATAGAATGCCTGCCCCCTTGGTAAGGTCTCATAAGAGTAAAAAAATAATAATAATAAAGCACAGCTAGATCCTCCCCTCTGAGATCCTATGTTCTAGAGTTCCATATTTCACAAAGACACTTTTGGGTGGTTGTCATAGCAAAGACGCCAACTGACATCTGTCTTCATAAAGAGCCTTTAGCATCATATGGCACTTTATCCCTACAAAGTTGTTACATTTTCCTTCTTATAAAGCAGAATGACTAAAGCAAATTTTTGACTAATACCATTTTCAAGTGCTGAGATCCTCCATACAAAACAGTTAAATCAATCTTTAACCCAATCATAATTCAGGAATTTGTTGGTTGTTGATGGATATTTCCTGGTTGTTATGTTTTAGCTCTAGTATGTGTTAAGATGGTGTTTTGGTAACTACATGAATTTTTTTAAAATCACAAAGCTAGAAAGTTCCCTCAGACTACATCTGCTCCCCTCCTTGATGGAATGTTCCAGGGTCCCCTACTCCTTAGATTCCTTTATCCCCCCTAAACTCCCTCATGACTTCACCCATTCTCATGGATTTGCATGTTATCAGCATACTGATGACATTCAGATTTATAGCTCCAGCTTGGGCTTCTCCATCTAACACTGGTCTCTTCTATCTGACTTCTCACTTGAACTCTCCACTGAATATCAAATACCCATCTCAAACTTAATCTTCATAGGGTTCTGGTCTTTTATCCAAAATCTAGTCCTCTTACATCCCTCTCCATCTCAGCTAGTCATAATTCCATCTCTCTAGTTGCTCAGGTCAAAACTAAAAGTCATCCTGGACTTTTCTTTCTCTTCAGCCTCTTTCTCTGCCATCCCATATCCTACCAGCTCCAGAATCAGAAAACATTCCTTTCTCATCACTTCTAGTTCAGAATCTGGAATTCCCTCACCTACGTGCTCACACTGGAACCCCTTCCCTTATCACCACTCCCAGCACCATCATCCCTGTTCTAGCCGCCATTGTTAGAAGCATGTAATCCTGCAGGGGTTTGCTGACTGGTGGATCTGCTTCTGCTCTGACTGCCCTTCAGTCTGTACACAACCAGAAGCTGAAGGGATCCAGTTAATATCTAAGCCACCTCCTATGACTCTCCTCTCAAAATCCTCCAGTGGTTTCCACCTCCCTGCCATGACCCACTGGAATGTAAAAACTTTCTTAAGAAATGCTAGATTCTCACCCATTGCTGGAACTTCTAGCACCTAGAATTGTGCCTGGTAGATTCTGAATAAATATTTCTTGAAGTCATTAATTATTTTACTAGTTAGTTTGTGTTTATCTTTCTGTGTCATATTTTTACCCATGTATCTATTAGTATCTGAAACTTTTTCTTAAAATTTGTTTTGGATGGGGAAGTTATACATTAACAGTAATCAATGAATTCTGATATTTATTGTCGATATTTTCCCAGTTTTTAAAGGTTTTAATTTAGTTGTATTTTTTTAACAAACTGAATCTTTCATTTCTGTGGTAACACAGCTATTTTTGTAATGATTATTTTTCTCTGGGTGGCCCTTTAAAACTCAGCAAAACATTCATATTTTAGTGCAGAGCATCTAGCTATGTTCTTGTCTGCTCACATTCTTGTGTCACCTCCCACAGGCATCAACAGGAAGGTTGTTTACTCTCTAGCGGACTCAGCCAACGGGTTCTTCTCCATTGACAGTTCATCTGGCATCATCAGCCTGGAGCAGCAACTGGACCGAGAGCAGCAGTCTTCTTACAACATCACTGTGCGGGCCACTGACCAGAGTCCTGGACAGTCCCTTTCCTCTTTTGCCACAGTCACCATCACTGTCCTGGACATTAATGACAACCCGCCTGTGTTTGAGAGGAGGGACTACCTGGTAACTGTGCCTGAGGACACCTCCCCTGGCACCCAAGTCCTTGCTGTTTTTGCCACCAGCAAAGATATTGGCACCAATGCTGAGATTACATATCTCATCCGGTCTGGGAATGAGCAGGGGAAATTTAGAATCAACCCAAAGACAGGTGGGTAAATAGCAACCAACCAAGAATACAGAGCCTCACAATGTCCTGCTTCTCCTACAACTCAAACTCCCCTTCTTAGTGGGCTCTTTTTCCTCCTCCTTCCTCCCTTACAAGGAAAGCAGGTGTTCTGCTGGCTAAGTCTCCAGCACTCTGCTTCTAAGAATACCCCTGCTAAATTTCAGGCTTCTTGCTGTGGACTTACTCATCAAAACTTGACCCTAGATTTGGCTTCAAGATTTCTATCAAGGAAGGCTTGGGAGGAGCAATGTGCTTCCTCTATGGACAATGTGCTTCCATGGAGGAAGCACATTGAGAAGAAGTAGTATTTGCATTCCGAGCATGTGTGTTTGTGTGTGCATTTCATTTGGGTCATATCTGCTGGGAAATTATCCTAGAGATGAGCTTCCACCTGCCTCTGTCCATTAATTTAGACTGTGCTTTGTAGTCACTGGCCAAGGAGGACATTGGTCATGATCTACACCGGTGACCTGCAGGCTTTACCACACCAGCACCCCACATAGACTCTACCAGTTGGTGGAAATAGCACTGCATTTAAGCCCTGCTCATTCCTCCTGGTTAGAACATCATCGTTTCTCACCACACTCTTCAAACATTAGAGGGGATGTTCAGCATCACCTAGGGAAAATGTGCCTAGAAGCAAAAAAAAAAAAAACCCCAAAATACAGCCCTTGGGCTTAATCTTCAATAGAGAGTTAATAAATTGTAGAGGCATTTTAGGGTAAGTAAAGAGGGTTATTCAGAAAAGGTATTTGTATATTCTTGGAAGGCTAAGCATACTACTCTTGTGTTTTCATAGAATTTGTATTTTTATTTGAAAGCCCTTTTGTTGATATTCTTATTTGGTGAACAATCCCCCTGTGGATAGGCAAGGTGCCTCACATTTTGTAGATAAGGAAAATGAGACTCTCACACCTTCCCACCTTTTAGCCTATTTCCTTCATCACCTGAGGAGTTATGTACCTGTTGAGAAGGTGGCAAAGAGGGTTCAACTCTCTTTGGGGATGGTCACCGTATACAAATAAGGAGGTATAATTAGCAGCACTATTTAACATGGCAAATATGCCAGATTCCTCTTAACACATTAGGTGTTTCTCACATATTCCTAATAAGAAAAGCAAAGCTTCAGAGAGGTTACACCTTTTCCCCTCAGTGTTCATTAGTAAATGGATTATCCCAGATATGAACTTGGCTTTTCCTGACTCTGGAATTCATGTTCTAACCTCCATACAATGTAACACTTCCAACTGCTGGAACATCAAGCATGCAGGAGATACAGGTCTCACTTTTGGGTAGAAATATTGGTAAGGAATTGCACTAGCAGCTTCTCTCAGCAGTGCTTCTGTTTATTAAGGTCATTACTTCAAATTAAAATGTATGGGGACTTCCCTTATTTAACTGTGTTAGCTTTAATCTGTCTAGTTATGACCATGGTATATGAACACCATGGGGAAATGGATAAGTACCATTTAAATCTGGCATTGGATAACAAGACTGGGTTGCAAAATAAAGCAGGAGGAGTGGGAAGTGCTAGGAAAATTTAATTACAGGGACAAAGAGGCTCTGTGGTAGGTATGTCTACTATTTCTCACCTTAAATAGAAGTGGACTATTAGCAGTTTTAGTAACCAGAGAAGTCCTCTCTCTGGAAATGTGAATGGATGTGACCTTCTCCCTGTCCTAATGATTGTTTTTCAAGTGAGAGGAAAGTTTTTGTTTTTGAGAACTGCTGTATGGGTAGTACAAAGACCATCTGCCAGTTACAGAGTATGCTAGGTCTTCTCACCAGAAAGGGCTAGGTGAGGAGTGATGTAGCCCTTAAAGAGCCCTTCCTAGAGGTAGCACCTAACTAGAGTTTTCAGTTGTTCTAATTGTTTAATTTAGACAACTCTATGACTTGGACATTATCATCTCTTTTCTATATGTAAAGACATTAAACTCACACTCAATATTTGACCACTGTCTGATTACCATGTAGATCCTTTTTCCTATGTCACTATGCCTTGAGATTTCTGAGACTTTTACCCTTTTTGTGCCATAATAGTTTGAAATAAGCATTTCTTAACTTGACAAAGCACCTTTGTGGTTAATTCAATTTCAGCTAAGTCTGCAAGTATTTACTTGCTGACAAGGAGCAGGATCATATGATCACATCTACACATCTCATCTCATCCTGGGTATACCTGGGTCCACCTGAGGAAATGGAAGACACTTACCAGGGATGGTTGCCCCTGTTCTTATTCCCTAGTTGCATGCACAGATTTTCATGCTTCTTGAGAGATGTTCAGAAACTGTTGCAGGAACATGCAAAGATTTTTCATTTATTTAGTGTTGTGTTTGATGGATAGCTATGCTTTACTGAAAGCATTAATCAGATTTCTGGAATGCTTTCAGGGAGGCATTAAATAAATTCCTGAATATCTGAAATTCTTGGCTGGAGATGACGTTGTAAATATTACCATGATTATAGAATGGCTGACCAATGTTTTTCCCTAATCAAATCTAAAGCTCCCCATTTTTCTTTAAAGGGGGTATTTCTGTCTCAGAAGTCCTGGACTATGAATTATGCAGAAAATTCTACCTAGTGGTAGAAGCTAAAGATGGGGGCACCCCAGCTCTCAGTGCTGCGGCCACTGTGAGCATCAATCTCACAGATGTGAATGACAACCCTCCCAAGTTCAGTCAAGATGTTTACAGTGCTGTCATCAGTGAAGATGCCTTGGTGGGAGAGTCTGTCATTCTGGTAAGTGCCAGGGATGTCTAGATGTCTGAGACTATTATTACTCATTATAATGAAGAAGTTAATAAAGTCTCTGTTGGATTTTCTTCACTTTCCCCTTTCAGTGTCTTTGTGTCCCCACAGTGCTAGTCAGACACAAGCCTTTCAATGGTATCGTCTCCAGTTTGTACATTAGAGTGGATTATATAGATTAATTTATATCAAGGCTATAGTGACTTTTTTTCCCATAGTGTATACTTTTTTAGGAAACCAAAACAGACCATGTAAAGAATTTTAAATAATGATTCCTACTAGTATATGAACTTGGATGATAAGTTATTAGGTAGCTTGAAGATTACTTTTTTTTCTGCACAGTATGGTAGATATAGTTGATAAGGATATATTGTACATTTCAAAATCACTGAGAATAAGTTTCAAATATTTGAGGTGATGGGTTGTTAATTAGCTTAAATTAGTTATTCCACATTATATCCATAAATCATAACATCACTTTGTAACCCATAAATATGTATGCTATAATTTGCTAGTTTATAATAAAAATTATTGGGTGGCTAAAGATAAACTAAACTTGGCTCACCACTACCCACACAATCACAGAGTAGGGCAGCTACAAATGGGCCACTCTTGGAGGAGCCCTTTAGGGAAGGAATTTTTTGTGATAATACTTAGAACAAGACATGTGTTTGGAGAACTCAGGTTTTCTTATGCCACAATTACATTTTGAAAATGAGTTATCATCCTCTCTGGATCCTGGGTGGGACAAGTCTCTTCCACCCAAACATCTCTCCTTTGATTGCCCCAGCATCAGATGTAGGTGGCTTCAGCCCTCTGCTATATACTTTAGAGGTAGACTTTCCAAGCCCTCTCTTGTTCCTGGATATTATAAGACTTTTCTAGTGCATTTAAATATAAACATGAACAATACAAAGTAGTAGACAGTGGGCAGCACATTGGCTATGTGGTAAAAGGGAATATTCTTACACCTCCCTACATGGAAATGCATAGGTTTAGAGAATGTATGACTCTATAGCAGAAACCACTATTTGCAGAATTGGGAAGGAATCATGAAAGCACTACCATTGGCTGACTTTGGGCTCTCACTGTCTCAAGCCTGGGGAAAATCAAGCATAACAAGTACCAAATTGTAGGCAGAGGAAATTAGCAAAGAATGAGATGGGGCTCCACTGGGGCTTATCACTGGCATTGGTGAGCTGAGCTCCTAGGAATACTGTCAGTTCTGGAACTCTAAGAATAAAACCCTTCTCTGTCTCATGTGTTATGTCTTTTCTATGTTTTTCTTGGTTTCCATGAAGCTAATAGCAGAAGATGTAGACAGCCAGCCCAATGCACAGATTCATTTTTCCATTGTAAGTGGAGATCGGGACAATGAATTTGCAGTGGATCCTCTTTTGGGACTTGTAAAGGTTAAGAAGAAACTGGATCGGGAACGGGTAAGCTATTCAAGACCAACTCCTTTCCCATCCACACCTATATCTCCACTGGAATCAGGACACAGGCTTCATGAGTATAAATAGAAAGGTTCTCTATTCTAAATATTAAGAATAAATAGGGATACATTAAAATGGAGTGTGGAGTATTTGGGTTAGACTTCCTGCCAATAATAGCAGCTGGCAATTGTTTATATACGGAGGTTTGAAAAGAAAGAGCAAATATGTGTCTTTCAGAATGGCTTAAATTTCAGTCCATCTGCAAGTGAGGGCAGAAAAGTACCTTCAGTGTTAGGATCCTGTGGCACTGGTTTCCTGAGTAACTTTAGCCCTAAGTGAGCAGATACAAAAAGATCACCTGAAAGAATCTAAGCCATAAAGAATGGTACAGAATATTCCTATGTCCATTAAATGTTAAACTGAGTTTCTAAACCTTGTCTTTCTTGACTAAAACGTGTGTCTTCAAAGAGAAATTAAATATAGAAACAAGTGTCATAGTAGCGATGCTAAAAAGCAGATGGAATCTACAGGGTGTTGTATTTCCATGCCTCCACAAATACTAAAACTAGTAAGTCAGACAGGTCACGGGTGACAATGGTTGTGATGAACAAGGGCCCAGAGCTGTGGCTCTAACAGGGAGTGGTTTTGTCTCCCAGGGACACTGAGCAATGTTTGAAAACATTTTTGATTGTTAAAGCTGAGCAGAGGGTGACACTGGCTCCTGCTGGGTAAAGACCAGGGATGCCTTCAACCTTCCTACAGTGTCCTCAACAGCAGAGAATGCTCTTCAGCTGCAAATGCTAGATGTTGAGAAACCTGGGCTAGAGAACCACAGAAAGGTGGCTGATCTATAACAAAGTAGAGCAGGAACCTGCAGTTCCTGAGTGCTCAGAAGAAAAGAAGTGCTGCTGTTTCTTACTGTCACCTCTTTGTGCCTTGGCAGGTATCTGGATACTCACTGCTTGTCCAGGCAACAGACAGTGGTGTTCCTGCAATGTCATCAACTGCAACTGTCAACATCGATATCTCTGACGTAAATGACAACAGCCCAGTGTTTACACCTGCCAACTATACTGCTGTGATTCAGGTAAGCAGATCTCACTTGCCAGGCACTCATCTGTATGCATTCAGCCCACTTCCTGTGCTGTTTCCCTCCCTGTCTTATTTGGTTTGAGTTTACCATAGATTAGGTAATTTATAAACAGCAGAAATGTATTGTCTACCTTCTTGAGACTGGGAAGTCCAGGATCAAGGCTTCATCCGATTCTGTGTCTGGTGAGGGCCTTGTCTCTGCTTCATAATGCAGCTTTCTAGCTGTGTCCTCACGTGGTTTATAAAGCAAACAAGCTTCCTCAGGGCCTCTTTTATAAGGATGCTAATCCCTATCAAAGTTTGCACCTCTTAATACTATTGCATTGGGAATTTCATACCAACATATGACTTCAGGGAGAACATGAATGAACATTCAGATCATGGCATTCATTTGGGTTTTTTATTATTTCTTAGTAGGTATGAAAAAGCCTGATTCTTCAACCACAGCTGATGAATAAATGTTGCTAAGAGGTATCCAGGACAGGGTTCTTTCATGTATCAGTTGTTTTATGTGCACTGTCTATCCCCACAGCAACCTATAAAATAGGACGGTGGATTGACCTCCACCTGAGAGTCAAGGAGAGAAGGATTGTGAGGTTAAGTAGTTCATCCAAGATCCTGGTAAGTAGTAGAGTCAGGATTTGAATTTGGGTCTGACTTTGGGGGGAAAAAAAAAACTCAACTCTGTAATGATAGGCAATCTTTAAGCAACTTTGTGCTGTTCTGACAGGGGAGGGAGATTGATAAGAACCCTCTCATTATTCAGAGGGAGATTGGCATCAGGGTAGAGCTGCTACTCATTAAAATTAATCTTCCATGGGCAATTTGTTTAGCCCTTTAAATTCACCTGCGTCTAAAACTTAGACTGCAGGATAAGGTAACTTACAGCTTGTATTCTGCTCTCAGAGAAAATGAATCTTCTTCCCATTTACTTTTTATTCAGAAGATATTTCATGAGCACAGTTCCAGGTGCTGAGCTTCCTTTACCTCCCCATATTTTTAGAAGCCAGAGACCCAACCTAAGCTGGATCAATCCTGACATACTGTCAGTGCAGAGGGCTTGGAGGAGACAGAAATTGAACTGGAGAATCATCTCTTGCCTTGTCCAGCTTGGTATCAGAATTGCCCCCAAGGGCTACCAGGATTGCTAGCCAGGGCTTTGTGGGTAGAAAGTAAGATGAGAGTGGCCACATCTTGAGGGACACTTTGGGATGACATCAAAGACTCTGAGTCTGGCCACCCCCAGCAGGCTTCCTCAGCCCCCATGCTGCAGAGCTGTCCAAGGATCAGAGCAAGCAGCTACCAGCTTGTTTCAGCCCCTTTGTCAGTGGAATCCTTTCCTTTGGAGAGGAAGTTGCATTTCCTCTTCTCCCTTGTTTTTCTCACCAGCTGTGCATGCTGATCACTCTCCTGCTTCCAGGAAACTTCACCCAGGCCTGTGCCTTCCTCCATGTCCGTCTCAGATTGCTCATCTCCATGACCATTGCCCCCCATGGCACTCTTTCCTCTCACAGTCTCTGCTTGCCTCCCCCCACAACAAAATGGGCTTTGCCTACTCATAATTCATTTTATGACACATATCCATGGCTTGGCAGACTGTTTTCAAATGCAGATGGCAAGTGGGTCTGGGAGTGGTGGTGGGGTCCCCTCTGCCGGGCCTGTCTGTCTGTGTCTTTGTACACCTTTCTTTTCCATGTGGTGACCCCGAGGGCACACATTCTTTCTCCCTCTCTCCCTCTAGTCTGTAGAGGAAATGGCCTTTATAGAGTGAGCGAACAAATCAATAAATCTCCTGCTTTGTGTGATGCTGAGTATGTTGTTCATGGAGAAGAGTAACTCTTCCCTGGGCTGAGGTTTCTCCATGATGGGTTCCAGAGGGAAGCTATGATGACCAAGAGGGCACTTGAGAAAAGGAGCAGGAGACCTTCGAGGTTCTATTGCCTTCCTCTTTCAAAACACATGCCTTCCAGGCTGGGGTTGTGGCTCCGTGGTAGAGTGCTTGCCTGGCATGTGTGGGACCCTGGGTTCAATCCTCAGCACCACATAAAAATGGAGGTATTGCATCCATCTACAACTAAAAAAAAAAAAAAAAAAAAAATATGCCTTCCTTTCCCCAAGCCAGAATGATTTCTTTATTCCAACATATGGTTTTTATAAGGCTAATTTGGCACACAAAACTTGAGTGGGCCTGCCCTCCACACTGCAGCAGCATATCACTGTCTCCATCTCTGCAGCTCAAACCCATTTAATCCTTGAGTCGATGCCATCAGGAGGCAGGAGCCAACAAAGCTGACTTCAGACCCAGACCACGGTAGCACTGAAGTCTAAACAGAGGCGGGCAAGGAAACCGGTGCCTGTGCTATGGAGGATTTAGTTCGGCATTTTCAAAGAGAAGATAACTTCAAGAAAGAACGGCAAAGAGTCTTTGTTTTCTCCTTTTGGGGAAAAGAGTGAGGGATTCTGCAAGATAACACTTACAATATAGCATCAGGGTTTCCAAAGACTCATGATGCAATGATTCCCTTTCTCTTTATTTTCAAGTTGAGGAATATTCCATCCCCCTTCTCTCTTCTAGAGAAACATGGCAAAACTGTATTCTAGGGTGGGTTATAAAAGCTTCCTCTTCCATCTGGACTGTGCTTTTGCATATTGACTGGGAAATTGCCAGCCTGTCCGCTCAAAATATCCAATGTTGTGACATTGTGTCACAGTGTTGGACCTCAGCATATTCATATTATGAGTGTGAAGAAGAGTCTCCCCCACAATTCCACCAGGAGAGATTTCTCCTGGCCTGAGAAGATCTCCAGTGTTGCCACCAAGACTGGAGAGAGCCATGTAAATGGGAACAATTCCAGAGGTTTCCTGATAAATGCTGGGCACTTTGAGCTGATGAAGGACAAGGTGTACCCCACACTATCCTGGGAATCTATAAGATGGTTCAACATGAGGACTTTGTGTTCTCATCTACAGAGGGCTATCTTGTGAGGCAGACACTGATGGAAAGAGGATGCTTGCCAACACCATCATGTTGAGAAGGCAAGAGGATGTCACAGGGAACCCCTTCCACGAAAGCCCAGTTCCTAGCTTTTCACTCACTACCAGCGATGCAGGATTTAAAAAAGAAAAAAATGTGAAGAGAAGTGTAATTTTTATCTTCCTTTTTATCCTTTACTCTTATGCAGGAAAATAAGCCAGTAGGCACCAGCATCTTGCAGCTGGTGGTAACAGACAGGGACTCCTTTCACAATGGGCCTCCCTTCTCCTTCTCCATTTTGTCGGGAAATGAAGAGGAAGAGTTTGTGTTGGACCCTCATGGGATCCTTCGGTCAGCAGTGGTCTTCCAGCACACGGAATCTCCAGAATATGTGCTCTGTGTCCAGGTATGGCCTCGTTCTCTGTCCACATCAGGCTGCCTGTCTCTCTGTCTTGTTTCACTGCCTGTCGGTCGGTTGGCTTTTCTTTGTCGAACAAGTCAACATAATTCATTACTGCGAAGGAATGTTCCCCTTTTAATCTCAAATTCAATTTCACACCTATAAAAGCGACCTGTGTGTGTGAAATTGAACAGGAAGGAAAGGAAGCTCGCTGGTTCAGGAAGGACATTTCTGTAGGTTGAGCCTGGCAGACAGTCACTTCACCTAAGTCGGCATTCTAAGACTCTTGGGATTGTAATTAACCCCCAAAGAAACTCATCGGTTAAAGCTTGTGGCTCTCTCCTGAGGATTGTTTGCCACATTACCCTACTGGAGGAAGTACCAGTCACTTCCTTAGTGCAATTGAGTCATAGTATGTCCTCTGCTTGCCAGGCCTCCCTGGTGTGGCAGGAGGAGACCAAAGACTCAATTGGCACTAGCCTTCCAGGATCTCTCCTCCAGGTCATTGGCCTGTGTGAAATGAAATGGGACAGATAGGCAAAAATAGACGGTATGCAACGGATATAAAGGGGAGCAAAAAAAAAAAAAAAAAAAAAACAAGAGAGAACACAAGAGTTCCCCACATGTAAACTGTGACAATACTCAGATTTGGATTCCATCAGTAAAGTTGAGTGACTTTCCAACCCACAGGTGCCCACAGAGAGCAGCCCACACCAAGTATGTATAGTGGCAATGATAAAAATAGCAATCCTTTGTATTTGTATAGATTTGAGTAGATGTTAAGGGCTGAAGGTATAGTTCAGTCATAGTATGTGTGAGGCCCTGAGTTCCATTCCTAGCAACACACACACACACACACACACACACACACACACACACACACACACACACTCTACATGTTATCTATTTGGATAATTTATACCTTGTCCTACTCCTTGAAACCATCCAAATTAATAACTGCCAGCTCTGAGCATGCCAGTGAACTCTTCAGTTGCTGCCATTCTTTTAACAATTTACATCACAGTATAGGGACTCAAGGCCCAAAAATGTTTTCCAGTGTCTTCTCACAGCAGGGAGTACAGTGTTTCCATCTTCTGTCTAGTTGTTAGAAAGCAGATACCATATCTCAGGCTTTGGAATCCCTGTAGCAGGCCCTATCCTCCTAGTACCTTGAAATAAACTACCACCAGAGCACATGTTTTCTTCCTTTATAAGGTCTCTGGGTGCCTTAGTGATGCTCCCTTTGCTATCTTATTGCCCCATACACATACTATTCTATCAGAGCTTCCTGGGTAATTCCTCTGCTCATTTTCTTCTAACTCATCCCTCCTGGGTCAATCATTCCAGTTCAATTACTTGTTTTCTTAAGTGAGAGATGAACAAATTATAACCCTTTGGCCAAATCTTGCCCTCAGCCTCCTTTTTCTAAATAAAGTTTTATTGGATGTAGCCTCACCCATGCTTCGTGGCCACTTCCAGGCCCTAAGGACAGAATTAAGTGATTGTGATAGAGACCATATGACCCACAAAGCCTAAATTATTGGCTGTCTAGCCCTTTGCAGAAAATGTTTGCTTACTCCTGCCCTCAACTAATACTTTAGCTGTAAACTAAAACTCAAGCACTACAGTGCTTGAAAACTTGGGCCCTGCAAGCCACATTCTACCCACAAATTTCAGATTTTGAATTTCAGGGTTTGGGGGTAGATAACACCTTCCGGCCCTCCTCTGACCACAGGCCCATTACCCTGTTTCCAAATACCTAGCAGCTTCATGCCTTCTGCCACCTTTCCAGCTTCTGACATTGGAACCTCTGGCCTGGAGTTCAAACTTGTCATTGATATTTGAAAGCTCTCCACTGTTTAAGTTCATCTAATTTGCCAAAATTATCTCTTCCTATAGGAAGTCTCCAATTCAGCATCTCTGGTTCACATTGCTAAGCAAATAGATAATGAGGGTAACATTAGTAATAAAAATAGCAATAATCATGTGAATTATCAAATTCAAAATATTTCTATGTGTTAAGCCTGTGCTAAGTACTTTGCAATCACTCTCTTTTGGTCTCCAGCATACAAGAACCCTGTGAGATACATACTCCTGTTTTACTCAGATTAAAGAGACCAAAATTGAGGTTCAGAGAAGTTGAGCAACTTACTCAAAGATGGATATGAAATGAGTGGCAGAACTAAGATTCAAATTCTGGCCCGTGTGATGTCCAAGCACTTGCTCTTACACTGCCTTCCACATGCAATGATACATCTCCCCAGATTCCATTTAGCCTTTGGCCCCACAATCTCAGATACCCACCCTGTGGACCCAGTCCCTGGGACTCTTCCCTCCTTCCGAAGCCATACAACACTGACTGCCTCCACATTGCGTGTGGCAGGAGTTCAGTAAAGATCTTCTGTCAGTGTGGCTGTTGCAGCAATGCTTATGTCAAGAAGAGAGAGAAAAGGTTTGATGTTTTTTGTTGTTGTTTTGGGGGGCTAACTATTTTTCCCTTTGGTGTGCTTTTTTTTTTTTATTCACTCTGATATAATTCCCAGTTAAATAAGATGTCGTTTCCTAAATGTACAGAACAGTGGCATCTGGTCCAATCCAAAGGAAAGAATCCACCAGAGAACAAAGATCCCTTTTCCAACTGGAAATACCATTTTATGAAGTTTTTCCTGTGGTTTCTGTCCACAATGAAAATAAGGCCAGCCTGTGTGGGCATGCTGGGTCTCATAGCACCCCCATCCTCCTTCCCTCTTCACCCCCACCAGCGTTGTTGTATTGACACATTTTATTGTCCATAACAGAGTGCACATATGGGGATTGAAGGTGATAAATCATCCCCCTTACTTAAATGCAGATCCTCAGCATTTTACACAGTCATGACAGGAGATTGAGGAAAAAGCAAACTCAGTTAAAGGTACAGACATCTTCTGAGGGGTTTTTTTATTACTATGATTTTTTTTTCTCAATTCCTTGTTTTTCTGCCTCTTGGTGGCCCTAGGCAAAGGACTCAGGAAAGCCACAGCAAGTTTCTCAGTCCTACATTCGCGTGAGGGTCATTGAAGAAAGTATCCACAAGCCCACAGCCATTCCTTTGGAAATTTTCATTGTCACCATGGAGGATGACTTTCCTGGTGGGGTCATTGGGAAGATCCATGCCACAGATCAAGACATGTATGATGTGCTCACGTTTGCCCTGAAATCAGAACAGAAAAGCTTGTTCAAAGTGAATAGTCATGATGGAAAAATCATTGCCCTGGGTGGCCTGGACAGTGGCAAGTATGTTCTGAATGTGTCTGTGAGCGACGGACGCTTCCAGGTGCCCATTGATGTGGTCGTACATGTGGAACAGCTGGTGCACGAGATGCTGCAGAACACTGTCACCATCCGCTTTGAGAATGTGTCCCCTGAGGACTTTGTGGGATTGCACATGCATGGGTTCCGGCGCACCCTGCGGAATGCAGTCCTCACCCAGAAGCAGGATAGCCTGCGTATCATCAGCATCCAGCCCGTGGCAGGCACCAATCAGCTGGACATGCTATTTGCAGTGGAGATGCACAGCAGTGAGTTCTATAAACCAGCCTACCTGATCCAGAAGCTGTCCAATGCCAGGCGACACCTGGAGAATGTCATGCGCATCTCAGCCATCCTGGAAAAGAATTGCTCAGGCCTGGACTGTCAGGAGCAGCACTGTGAGCAAGGCTTGTCACTGGATTCCCATGCACTCATGACTTACAGCACAGCACGCATCAGCTTTGTGTGTCCACGTTTCTACAGGAATGTGCGTTGTACCTGTAACGGTGAGTGTAGTATAGAATTCCCTGCCACCTCTTGAAATTTTAGGAGTCAACTGGGTTATCATTTCTTCAAAGCATGCACTCAGTCACTTATTCAATTGAATATTAATGGATCACCTGTTATGTGCCAAATAACCATGAAAGATTATGGAACTGCAGGAGAAATAAGAGAAGTCAGCCCTCACTCCCTTGGAAGTTTAGCCTAGTGAGCAGCACAGACAGGCAAGGCCAGCTGATAAGCATGGTTAGATAGAATACAATGGGGGGTTGGGGACAATGAGAGGGAAGTTTTTCTAAAAAGAGTGTCCTATAGGCTGAGATAAAGATCAAGTAGGAATTAGGTAGGGGAAGGAGAATATTCCAGGCAGGGACAGTTTGTATGAGAAAAGCTTAAAGGCAAAAGAAGAACCCACATGGAGGAGACAGAAAGAGCTTTTCTCTTGCTAGAAGGAGGCAGCAGTAATGACAAATGAGATTGTAAAGCGGGCCCAGTGATCACATGAGGGCCATTTGCCAGGATGAAGAATTTATAAATTATCCCAAGGCACTGAAAGCCATTGGCTGATTAGAAGTGAAGAAGTGACAGGATCAGATCTGTCTTCACAAAGGGCAACAGAGGGGAATGGATGAGATGGGGTCAGGGCAGAGGGAGGGAAACAAGTTGGGAATATGTGGCAGAGGGTAAAGGCAGTTCGATTGCTTCAGTGAAAAACAGGGGCCAGATGTCCAGAAGCACAGTCAGGGGATGGATTCAGCCCTAAGAGCCACAAGGACAGAATGGTTCATGTTAGTTGATGTAACTACAGTCATTGAACCTTGACCTTTAGTGGTCAAAGGCCATAGCTGCACAGAGTCATATGCCAATAGTGGTCAGTGAGAAGAATTACTCTCTCTTTTTCCTCTCCCTGATATGTGGAGCCATAAATTCACTGCTCTCTTCTAAGAAAATTGCACCCAGAGTTTTTCTGTCCAGTGTGAACTTGATCCACAGGAACTGTGGCCAGAAGGAAGGCCATTTGTAAAACATTCCTGTAGGTAATTGGGGCCAGACAGTGCCCCTGGCCTCTTTGCTTGGAGGATGTTCTTGGTTGCATTTTGGAGAATAAGCTTATGAGAGGGAGGACCTAGGGATCACAACTGCCTCCGACAGATATTTAAGACAGTCTTAAAGCAGCCCAGAAAGGTGCCAGGCATTCACTCAGTGGTACCCAGTAAATTGTTTGCATTTTTATTAGGTTAGATGCAGTGATGACCAGACCTGTGAAATATGTAAATTCACTGCAAAGTGACTTGAAGCACCCATGTTAGGTAAAATGCATTTCTGGCAGATGTCACCACCATTCAGAATTTATGAATGCCAGCTGTGCAGGTCTTATCTAAATTCCCTTTGCTGGCAAATTGATTTCTGCACCAAAGTTCTGTTAGGGCCTACATGCAGTGATTCACAGCAGGGTTCAAAAGGGGTTTTGGACAGGACAGGGCAGACTCTGCAGGAGAAAGTATACTAGCTGATTAATTCTGAGAACTCAGCAAAAATCTGTGGAGGTTGGAATGTCCTAGGCACGGAAGACTCAACATGAAAAAATACCATCTCTGCCCTTAGGAGCTGGCTATGGTATAGTCAGTCTGCAAGCCCCTACTTGCTCTAATACTGCCATAATAAGTGCCACAGAGCAAAAAGCACAAGGCCCTCTTGTGGCTTCTGTGATGTTTATACACAGAGACCACACATGTCCTGGGTCTTCAGGGATGAGTGTGAGTTCATCTAGAAGGCATCTAGAGGAGGCCTTGCAGAATTTCCTTAAAGGAGGGAATTTAGAAGGATCATTTAGGGGGAGGGGGTAGGAGAGGACTTACTCTTCATTTTGTATGAGATGCTAATGTTTTAAATGAAATAGGTTTCAAAGTGATGTCCCTGATTAGGACTCCTATTCTCTAGTCCCCACAAACCTTTCTATTCCTATTAAATCTAGAATTCCAGAAGTTTTAGCAATTAAGTCCCTAGATAACCTAAAAGGAGGCTTTCCAAGTTTGAAAAGTGAGTGCTTTTTCAAACAAGAGCTCTGTGCATAGTCAGAACAAGCTCTCAGCTTCTTCTGACCTTTTAGTCACCCTTATAATTAAATTTAAATAAAATTCTAGATTTTAGCAATAAAAGGGGCTCAAAAGGTCATCTGTGAAGACCCATCTTCAGTAGGGGATGTATGATAATCACCATTTTATAAATGTGGAAGTTAAATGCCTTGCCCAGGGCTGTACCCCTGGTGAGAGTGTCCTGCTGACTCAGCATAGGGTCCCCTTGGTCCCTATTTTATTATGTGCTCTTAAGAACAAGAACTTTTCTATTTTTTTTCCATGTGAATCATAACCTCAATACTATGTACTCTATGAGAATACCCAAATAAGCCCATTTTCTTAGCAAACTGATCATCAGCCTCACAATAGGATTCCAGAAAGACACAAGTTCTCAGCCTCCAGTATGCAGAGAGATTTTGGGAAACGTTGAGCCCCATACTCAGATATGGACAGTAGGTTTTAGCTACCTTGAAACCTATACTTACTTTCTGTGCCACACACGTGCTGCTGATCAAGAAAATTTAGAGAGATCTCACAGGAAGGTAAAGAGAAAAAAATTTCCTCCAAAGTCAGAGGGAAAACTCTTGGTTGTAATAGTAATCACCTTCAAACTTCTTCTAAAGTTTCCTTCTAAGTAAAAATACAGTGAAGATTTGTTAAGGTAAACATTAGTTATTTTTAGGCATCTTCTCATTTATTGGGCAGATGGACAGGAGAGGTCATTTAATTCAACAAATGCTCCTCCTCCTACACACCACACACACACACACACACACACACACACACACACACACACACAACTTGTATTGACTACTTATCTGTTTACCATTGGAGGCCCACAAATTTATTAAATGAAGTTTCCCAGCACTCCTAGAATAATTAGCATGATAAATAGGATAGGTAGCTATCCATTCTGTGCTGTATAGAAATGTTGATACAGATGTGGCCTCAGTGTTCTACCCTCCTCCCAATCTCCAGCTCATCTTTTTGTCTTGAAGATTTTTGGGTTCAATTATCATCATTAGCATCTTGAACCAAAATGCTGACTTGTGTTAACCAAATGAAAACAGACTTGAATTTTAATGCCAAATAAGCTCATTAAATTCTAGCCACCATGAAGCATCACATTTGAACAGAACTTCAAGAGATACAAAGTTCTGATGTCAGGAGATGGCTCCTGGTGAACTTTAGATATTCAATGAACATTCTCCCTTCAGTAAGAATCTTACACCAACTTAAACAGATGGAGAGTGAGACATGCCCTGGAGCCTCCATGAGGAAAGCCGGAGGACAGGGCACCAGAACAACCCATAAGCTGCACTAAGAGTCCATCTTTTAAAGTTTCCATTGATTTTCAAAAGTCTGATATAGAAATATATCAAAAAATGAGGGAATGAACTCCCAAGGAGACAATCAGAGTTTAAAACTAAAGTGTCCTATGAGATTAATGGCAGAACCGGATGCCTCGTTTGCCACCTTTATTTAGGAATGGAATCTAGAGTTCCCAGTGAAATCAGTGAGGCATTATGAACATTACCATGTGTGAAGCCCTCTGCTAGACAGAGATGAGTGAGACAGCTGGGGCGAGTGCTCTCATAGGGTGCTCAGGGTACTGAGAACCATGCCGTAACCCTGGAGATGATACTACCTGAGCGAGTCCTGAAAGGATGCTTAGAATGAGACACATGCCCAGGATGAAGTGTTCCAGGCTGAGGATCCTAAGAGCAAAAGTGTGATGTGAGAAACACCATGCAATTCAATGCACAGGTCAAGGCAAGGATGCACGTGACAGCTCATATGTGTTGAGCCATGACCAGGTTCATGCTATGTTTCACACATATATAATTACATTGAACCCTTTCTGTAACCCAATAGGGTAGGTATCATTAACTTCAGATATTAAGGAATCCAAGTCTTGGCAAGGTCAATTAACTTGCTCACGGTCAGGGAGCTAATAAATGGCTGAACCAAGATTCCTACCTGACCATTTATTTCAAAGCATTTTTTACCATTATATTTTACTACCTCTGTGAATATTCGGAAGGAACTTGGAAGCTACTTATTTCAGTCTCCTACCCAATACATACATCCCATTTACTATGTCCCTGTCATAGAAATTCAATTGACAGATAAATAGAGCTGTTTATGGGTGACCATGCTAATTATCTTCTATTAAGCACAATAAAATAAAATAATGAAGATTTCTATGAGACAGTCTTAAAACTTAGCTTTGACGAATTTTTGGAAAATGAGCAATATTTGAGATTGAGTTTACTCTTAGGGTAGGGTTTGTTAATGCTAATTATCTGAAGCCAGGGTCAATAGGCCTGATCCCAATGGTTTCAAATAATCCTAAATGTTTTCTCTGAATCTTAAAAAGGTTCCATATGAAGTAGGAAGTTTCTATTTTTCATTCATAAGAGATCTATCTCTGCAAATCCTTTATCTCCAGGACACATGGAACCAAAGTTATCAGAAAGGTTTGACACTGCTTCTCCATGTGAATATTCCTTATATATTCCATCCATGTACAACAGCCTTCAGGGAGTATGTCTGAAATGAAGCTGCATTCACCCTTTAGTGAAATCACATAGAAAAGATGGCTGAATCAAGAAAACGGCATTCTGAGTGGGTCTTTGCTTCTGAGCATATACAACAGAAAACTTCAAAGCTGAAACCTGGGGGGAACATGGTTTAAAACATCTTGCAGGCCATGTATTAAAAAGACAGCTCATTAACTTATGTGGCATTGGCCAGGACCTAGCATTTTGGCAAAGCATATGGGTTCAGGGTGTGGGGTGTTTACCGTTAGTTATTGGATTCTTCAATGTAATGAAGCAGCAACATAAATCAAGAGGGTAAGTCAGTATAGAGTGGCAGTATAATAAACATAGCTAGAAACTGATGTACTGGCTGATGGCACAGACTTAAACCCAGGGGCTCTGTGAATGCTGAGGAGATGAGATGAGAGTCATAAATATGGTAGTGAGACCCTTACAAAACCTTCAGAGGACCACCCTTCTCCTTGCATTTTCCAAAGCACTGAAGTTTCTGCTCCAACTAATCATCTGTTGTCAATATCATGGAAAGTGACCTAAATTTCCACCTCAGCAAAGCTTCAGAAGGCAGCAAACCTTTCAGAGAATAGCCACACTGTGTGCACATGTACCTAGTGGAGGGGCCAGATTTGAACACCCACACCTGAGATGGGGAAGGCAGTGCCAACACACAGCCACATGCATCCTGGGAATTGCTGAATAAAAAGCTTCAGGCCCTATTTATGCCTCCAATGCACACACTTTTGCCTATCATCTGTCATCTTATAAATCAAGAATCTTGCCCAAGAAGGACAGCATGTAAAATGATCACACCTAAGTTCCCATTGCTGCCAGGTTGTTAGTTGAGTTTGTGTCTCAATTTTGAGAATTTGTTTAATTTCTTTTTCAATCTTTACAAATTGCTTTCACGTACACTAGCCCATTTAATTTTCACAATGCTATGAAGAATCCTTATCCTGATTTTTTTTTTTTGTAAAGGAAATCAAGATACAGAAAAGTCAAGCAAATTATTCAAGTACACACATTGAATAAATCAAATGACTAGCCAGGGCCAAAATCCAGGCCCATAGGTTGCCAATGCAGTCAGTACCCTTTCCGATCACACTACACCACCTTCCCAAGGGAACCTGGAAATGGGAACAGAGCTTACTCCTCCTGCTTTATGTTGTGACAGGAACTAAAAACGTCTGGTCCTGCCCTTGCATACAATAAATGGTGTCAGCTGGTTTGATAAAGTGGGAGCCTTCTCCCTTCATGCTCACTCTGGCACCAAATTGATGGATGCCTGGGGACGCAGAGCATGCAGGTCTACAAGCCCTCACTCCCCAAGCTGTCACTGAGCACAGCACAAGTTCATTAAACCTGGATTATCTAATGATAGTTAATAAGATAAACTTCCCCCCAGAAGCCAAAAGGAGTTGACACTGTTGTCTCTTAACTGGTACTCAGGAGCTGATGAGGCACTTTCTGCCAGCACAGAGAGAGTCTTTAAGGCTCTTAACAATAATAGGTATATACACTTCCCTGAAAAGGGGATGACATCAACATGTGATTTCTAAAAACAAGTTAACCCATTATCACTCACTTAAAGCTTACTGGATTTTATGGAGCTAGATAACTTAGAGCTTTGACTAGAAAGAGGATTACTGTACCCAAAGTGTCCCCAGGCCCCAAAGCTGCGTTCATCGGAGGCATCCAAAGGTCAAGTTCCTCTGATAATGTGTATTTCAGAATGGACCTCATTTCTTAGATAGTTTGCAGAGAGGAAAGTAATGCTGTATTATATAGAGAGAATCTTTAGTTTTGAGGAATATGCTTTTCGATGGCTTTAGAAGTGTTTACTAGGAGTAGACTGCACATGATCACAGCAATCTCCAGCTAAGGAGGGTGATGCATGTACACTGACCTACAAGTTCTAGTCAGCCTCATATTCCTTGAGCAGCAAGAGTGGCCCAGGGAGCAGAGCACCCTGACAGCAGCAGCTGAATTATATGTGTATGACGGAGCATGTTCCAGGCTGGGACTTGGAAAGGGGCCCCAGAGGATTTTTAAAGCATCAAGATATATATTCCTTACCAAAAATTGTCCCCTTGACCCTAAAGAAACCATGAAAACAAAAAGAAAGAAAAAGAACCTATCAAAGTCTATGGCTGCTGGAATGAATGTTATTAGGTATCTAATATTTACATCAATACAATTAACTTTAGAATGTACTTGTGGCAATATTTATATTATTGTTTTCAATATATTCTCAAGCTACATTTTTCAAAGTGGAGATTTGCTCTAGTATAATCCATTGATTGGTGACTATGATTTAATTATGGCACAAGATAATTAGAATGAAAGCTGGGTGCAGTGGCACACACTTAGAATCCTAGCAACTCAGAAAGGCTGAAGCAGGGGAACCACAAGTTCCAGATCAGTCTTGGCAACTTACAGAGACCCTGTCTGAAAATTTTTTAAAAGGGCTGGTAATTTAGCTCAGTGGTGTAGTGCACCTGGGTTCAATACCCAATAAAAGCAAGAGGGGAGGGGGTGAGGGAGAAAGGAGGGGAGGAGGGACAAAGGGAGAAAAGAAAAAGAAAATTAGAATAAAAGGAGCTGTGAGTTTGAGATTTAGTTGGTGGTTGAAGTGGCTTTGTGCTTTAACCCAAAATAGAAGATATGGATGATAAGGTGAGAGGCCCTGTACTAATTCCCAGGGCAGAACTGGTGGTAAAAGAAAAAGCCAAAATGTGAATAAAAAGTAGAAGTACTCAAATGCTGAATTTGCTCCAAAATATGGTATTTAGCTTTTATTATACACACTCACAAATGTTTTAGTTTGTTTTCTTTTTAAAATATTACCATAATTCCTACAGGGATATGTAACTTTGTCATCACAGGTCTGAAGTTATCTAGCCCCCTTTTAATTCTTTGAAACAGAGCCTTTTAAACTAGATTTTTGATAATGCAATGTTTCTTAACAAAGCAGTCATTTCATAAACCAGAACAGACTATAAATGTAATATCTCAAGGTGTATCTCAGAAACATAGAAACTTATAGAAAAGGTAACCTTAGACTATCTTTCTTTCTTTCTAATAGAAAAAATATGTTCATGGAACATGAACAACCTACAAACATAAACTATTAATAATTTGAAGGTAATATCTTGGTAATTCAGAAGTTACTTTGTTTTTTCTTAGTACTGGGTCTTCAGAATTGAAGAGCCTAGTACATACTAGGCAAGTGTTCTACCACACTTGCCTAGTGAGGTACATCCCCAGCCTCAGTTACACCTATTTGATGGGATGTTTTGGTGTGATTTTGGTACACTGTCACCTCCATGTGGCTGAGTTTAGCATTGGGTTCAGTTTCCATTTTGGAGCATATATTAACTCCTGGTGAATATTGAGGAGTAACCTGGAGGCTGCAGGCAGTCAGAGACTGAGACGAAACCACCAATGAGACAGCAGAGAGTCAGCAGGGAAAGTAGTGAACATACCATGAACAAACATCCCATATATGATAAGGTTAAGCCACCAACCATGGCTGGTACAGTTTCTGTTACTCAAGCCCAAGTTAAAACATTCCCTTTCTTTGTGAAGACTTCTGCTGTTGCCCCAGGAGACGAATTGTTTCTCCTCTGGTGCTTCCATTGCACTCACATACCTCTATCAAAACAGTTGTCTAATCATATAGTATTCTGCATTCGCATGTTGGCATTGTTTCCTGCCATCTTTAGATATCCAGGCCCATCACCTCCTTGGCCTTGAGTAGTTATTTTATTGAGTTAGTATTTTAAATTTTTTTATTGAATGAATATGCCAAACATTGCTTAAAAACTGGTTATCAAAGTGTTTTGAAATAGGCCATGAGATGGTTAAACAGCTGTTTTATGTTCCATGAATATTAATCAGCACATGACAAGAATAAAGATTTGGGGGAAGAAAATTAGAAGATGTAATTCAGGGCAGTTGGGTCTTGTGGAACCATTTGTAGAGATCATTCTCAATTTTCAGTTAGAAATGCCTTCATCTTCTAGACTTCATAAGCTGGATCAGTGCCAAGAGTGCCTTGTATGATGGAGCTATAAACCAGTGGAAAATAGGATTTATGAATTCTGGGTTTGCTGGTGCTACTTATATTGCTTCTCTTGAGGATTATAGTTCTTAAAATGTTTGTGTGCAGTTAGCATTACACTTCTGCTTTTTCCTAAGAAATGATGGTATCCTGAAACACTGCTTAATGACAAGGAAAGCCATCACGGAGGGGAGCCTGATGACTGGCCAGCTCTTCCAAGGGACAGAGCAGCTGATGTTAGGGCTGTTCTCGGTTCATGGAGAAGGGGCAATACCTTAGGCCACTGCTAGCCCATTTAGGAAATAACCATTCCAGTCATGGATTATTTGAGTCTCCTTTCCTACAGTCCTATTACTACTTACACTCTTGCCAGGTTGAAAGGGGTCTAATTACACTTGAAATACCCAGGTCCTTTGAAAAGTAATCTTTCCTCAGTGGACCCATATCTGCCCTCAACACAGTTCTGACCGAATTCCCTTGGAGCCTGAATTCTGCCTTAATCAGTTAATCTGCTTTCCAGGTTTTCCCTCCTGGAAGATTAACCTTTCATCATACTGTGCTGTGAACATCGAACAGGTAGAAAGAAAGCCTTTCTTTGCCAAGGATAATACTACTATTTTTGATAGCTGCTAGGGCATGCTTCCAGCTAATCAATAAAATAGCATGTAGCAGAAGGGATTAGGAAGCAGTGCAAGTTATGCTTTCACAATTGAGAATTAGGCCTATTTTCTGTAGAAACATTTTTTCCCTACTGCCCTGAAATCAACAACTAACATCTTTTGTGGTCAACCCTCAAGTTTTTTAGGGCAAAGATAAGCTGTAGAAGAAATCTAAATACAGGGGCACATGCAAATGGCTGCCAAGATGCAGGAACCCCACTCCGGTCAATACTAATAGAACCTTTGCACAGTGATCTTTCTTCAGCTGAGCTTGGTCCAAGGGCAAATTAACATACTTTATCCTAAAGGAGGAGAAGCTCCATTTCCATTTGCTACTTTTTTTTTTTTTTTGAGACTATGTTGCCTGTCCCACCTCAGCCTCCAGGTGTGCCCAGTTTCTATTTACATCTTACCTGCTTCAGTCTGGACATGAGCTTTAGGCAGTTATAGGTGAAGCCCATTTGAGTGCCTCTGCTTCTGGATAGCCTCTTTATTACTTGGCTCAGAGCTTGTAGCAGCCAGCTCTTGATCCATTCCTATGATCCCTAAAATGTTGGGTGAATCCTTTTGTGTACTGATCATGCCTGTTCCCACTTTGTCACAGGAGGACTATGCCCAGGGTCCAATGATCCTTGTGTGGAGAAGCCGTGTCCGGGTGACATGCAGTGTGTTGGTTATGAAGCCAGCAGGAGACCCTTCCTCTGCCAGTGTCCACCCGGGAAGCTTGGAGAGTGCTCAGGTACAGAGGGTTTTGGAATGACAAGGGTCTAATTTCATACTTCTGAAACACTTGCCCTGGAGTAAATCACATGCCCAGGCCTTTCCAGGAGTCATCACTGTATGCATGCAGTGATTTTCTTCAGGATGGAAAACAGTTAACAGCCATTCATTCTCACATTTACTTGGGATTTAGTGCAGCAGAACTGTACTAAAGAAAATTGTAAAGACTGAGCTCCTCATATAAAAAGGAGACCACAACAGGTGTTCTCAGCTGTGAAGAATGTGAAATTATGGAAAATAGAAGTCTATCCATTAGGCAGAGTCAGAGTATCTATGTCAGAGCTTTTGATGTTCAGAGGGCAGCACAAATCCATAGTCATAAACAGATGAACAGGAGGTAGAACAGAGCTGATCCTGTTGATCATCCATATAGTAACCCCAACCAGAGCAATAAGTAGCTCTCCCCTGGAAATGTACAACCAAAATCATGTTCCAGAGAGAAAGAGAGAAAAAAATCAGTATTTAGATGGTTTTAATTCAAATGATTGTTTCTTTTCTTCACTCGATTTCAATATTTCTTTTGATTCACAGATTATCTACCACTCCTTGCCTCTAAAAAGAGTATTATTCATTTTGGGTATCCATAGAATCCTCATTTTGTTATAAGAATAATTTAAATACAGACACACCAATACCAATTTTGGAATCCAAGTAATATTTATTAAGTAATGATAATAATAGTAATTACAGTGGAAATAAAAAATAATTAGGTCTACTATGTGTAAGGCACTTTGTTAAGCAGTGGGTTTTAGAAATTCTGCCTTTGCAAAGAGAAGCATTGTTCATAAAAAACAGAAGCCAAGGTTCTTTTGCAGTTGATTTTAAGAATGGAGCTGCCCATAAGTCAAAGGGTCAACCAAAATGCTTGCATAAGTCAACTAAGTCTTAGAATTAAAAGAAAAGGGTGCTACTCCTGCCCCACTATGTGTGCTATGCACTTAACAGATGAATTTGCAGGTGACCATAAAATCAAATCTTATGACTTCTGATGTCACTTTTGGCAAAACTCTTTTCTCCTTTCTAGGTAGAAAACTTTGTCCTTGATTATCATCCCTTTGGTATATTTTACACATTTCCAACTTTCACCTTGTTATAAAGTTGAAGACAATTTTTAAAAGATGGTGAACTCAGAATTGGGCAATGGGGACTTGGACTAAAGATTCTGGGAAGGGAAGCCTTGAAATCAACAGCCAGAAAATGGAATTGTGACTATACATGAATTTCCTTCCTATCAGTTACTTTTTTTCAACATAGTGCAAATGACATCAATTGGCTATTTGAAATTAGGATAGTGAAGGAATATGGATATTATTTTAAAATGGTTTGTAGTCTTTGTTTCACAGAACTGAAAGTTCTTAAAAGCCTAAGTGAAGGGGGATTGAGGGAGTCATGAAGTGATATCTTAGTGCTATTTTTTGAAAGTGGCAGTTGGAATTTAGTGACACTAAGAAAAACAGGTTGTAGAACTTTACCAAGTTGCCCTTGGTAAACTTTTTTGGTAGCTGACTGGTTAATATTTTTTTTTAATTTTGAAATTAGAGTATGACATAAAATGAAGAACCAGTTTTCAAATCAAAACTGCTTTCTCCTTGATGCCTTCATTAATTTCCTATGGTCTTTAACCAACTTGCTTGGCAGATTTTGAGTAATTTTATGTATCCCGCTTGTTTCTGGATGTTAAAAAAAAATCATGTCTTCTTGTAATGGTCTTTTCAGGGCACACTTCTCTCAGCTTTGCTGGAAACAGTTACATCAAATATCGGCTTTCCGAAAATAGCAAAGAAGAGGACTTCAAGCTAGCTCTGCGCCTGCGAACCCTGCAAAGCAATGGGATTATAATGTACACCAGAGCAAATCCCTGTATAATTCTGAAGGTGTGTAAAATGGGGTATCTTTTCCTATGGTCAGTTTTCAGGTGAGTATTTTGGCTTTGGGTTGGGGACTGATGAAATCAGTTTTGATTTTGTGCTCTTTTGAGTTTAGAAAAACCAGAGTAGACTTCAGGGCAAAGGAGAGCAGCAGCAGGACTGGGAAGTGTGCCAATGTCCCATTTCCTTTTGAGTATTTGGCTTCAAAATTGGCTCTTGGTAGATTGGGGCATCTCCCTCTAGGGAGGATTCAAGGACTGGCCTCCTTTGAGCTGTAACTGCTCAACAGTTCATTAGAAGAGTGCCCTCATCAGTTCCATGCCAGGTGGTCTTTAAAGGATTGTCTATCCCCTCTTCTACCACAGGGGTCTGTCCCCACTGACCTCTGAAGGCACCTTCTCTTCCTGCTTAGTGGGGAAGTTGGAAATCAGGTAAGATAAGACTCCACATACCCTATCATGACCAAAGTAATCCAATTGCTAAATCATTCCCCAGACTCAAAAACCCTGTTATGGCACGCAGATTTCCTTTAGAGCAAATCAGGCATTTGTATTCAGCTCAGGGCACCTAGTGCTTTCATGAGAACAACAACAAAAATACTAACAGCTTTATGTACTTCATTTCTAAAAAAAAATAAAGTTAATATTGTTATACATTAGCATCCCCATTGGATGAAGAAGAGGACTGCAGTTTAGAGAGGTTATATTATTTAGCTAGGCTTGCATAGCTAAGTGGCAAGTCCTGGACCCCGCCCTTCAGGGTCTCTCTCTTTTCATGCCTTTGATCTTCATGACATTCTCTCTCTCTTGCCGCTGAAACTCATTTCATCAGATATCACATTCTGGACAACTGTAGACCAAATCCAGCCTTCTAGCATGAGGACAAGGGAGATGTATTTCATTTGATGCTATTCTCAGCAGGTTGCTATATCTGACCATTGTAAGTGCTTTTCAGAAACTCTCAGAGCCTCTCTAGTATTTTAGAGGAGCTGGAAATCTTTCCCTCACCAAGATTCGGACTTAACTAGGAATATGAAGGGCCTTTCTAGCATCTATACTTTGATTGTTCAATATGTCATATCCAAGTCGATTGGGTGGCCCAGTATCTAATTCTGAAGGCTGATGGGGTGGGAGAGAAATACAGAACATGTTAAACCCCAGTAACTCCACATAACTATCACATAGACCCAAACTCACCTACTTTGCTATCACCAGTATTGCTGGGTGGCCAGCGTGAGTGAGCAGAGAGTTGGAGTTTAAAAGTTGGATATTTTTATGGTGAATCTCCCACTATCCTTATTTATTCAACTCAGAGAATAATTTTAGCTCTGGAGTGGAAAGGAACATTTTTAGAAGAAAATAAAAGAAGCACTAGAGATGCACAGTTTTAGAGGAAATATGTTCAAGTCAGATATTTCCAGCAGAAGAAGAAAAATTCAAAAGCCTACGCCCTGTTTTTATCCTCTACTGGCTCCTCTAGCAGCCTGTCTTGGGTTAGTAGATCATTCTCTAAATAGTCCTGACAGTTGGGGTTTTGTGTAATCGCTGGGAAGGTCTCTGCCGGTTCTGAGCTTCCACTCCCAGTGGCTCTCCCTGGTCTCACTGATGGTCCCTCCTCCTCCTCCAAGCTCTAACCAGGGCTGTGGGTTACAGAACGTCCCTATGAGACAGATACTTTCTATTAACAAATCTCTGTAGAGCACTAAATTTGAGAGAGGACAAAAGCAGTGGACCTGAATGGCTTGATCCTAAAATGGAGCTTGTCATTTGACACTTCACTGACAAGTGTCTGCAATGTGCAGATCCCTAGGGATGGAAAGGAAGAATAATTAAAGCTTTTAGGCAGCTCCAGTTCCTAAGGTATATTGTATTTCAAGAAACAAGCATGTTTGTGAAAGTTGTGTAAATTGAACTTCTATAAATGGAATTGCAATAAACTAGGGATGGTTGCCATTTGAAGGACCCCTTCCATTAATCCCTTTGTGATGTGAATCATCACCCCTACTCTGTCCTGTAAGTTTGCTTTTCATATGTTGGGGTTGAGGAAAGCAGGACCCAGCTGTACTAAACTACTGCAGATACTCTCCCACAGTCACCAGCAATATCCACTTAGGGGATTTGAATCTGTTTGCTTAACATTTGCAGCCTCATGCAAGACTTAATTTCATTGGCTTTAGGCACAGAATGTGCCTTTTACTTTGGTTTAGCAACTAAGCTGAAATGCTTTGTTTAAACTGCACCTCTTCATTGTTTATATTTCCTCAGTCAGAGTGGCTCTTTAAAAACATACTTAACACAATCAGTGGAGTGAAGGGCACCCCCTTAAAGATAGGTAAAGAAGTTAATGGATACCTCAAGAAGTTAAAATGCTCATGGACAAAGAGTTACTGCCTCTTGGCAATAATAAAAGGCACTCATTCCCCATCTATCCTTAATACCTTGTCTTCCAAAAGAGAGTTCAGGCTTACCATAAACACCCAAATGCAATAAAATTTAATAAAATCAAAGCACCATTAAGATGAAAATAAAAGGTTAAGAGCCAACCATTGAAGCAGAGAAGGGAGGAATATCATTAATAAAAAAAAAAATCTAGGTCCAGGGGAACTAATTTGATTCAATATAAATCATAATTCTGAGTTTCCTGGCAGCCAAAGGAACCATGAAAATAGTGGGATAGATTCTGTGACTCTCCTCATACCTATATAAAAGAAACATGTTACCAGAAGAGATATAAAGAGAAATTTCCAAGAGAGCAAATTTTTCTCTGTGTCAGTCTTTCTGTTGCAATATACCTAAAGCACAAGGAGACCTTGGCTGTTAATCTAGAAATATCAAATGCTTACCTTTTAAGAAAGTTACCGGTAATATATTCTCAGAGATGGCTATTTTGAGATCGAAACAAAGATAGAGAAAGTTCATTTGATTTATAAAACTGACAACTTGGTATGGCCAGATCCTCCCAGCATAGACCAAAAAGTACCAAGGAGTAATCTTTCCACCAGACTCAAGAGTTCCAAGGTCTATGTAAGAGGGTCACTGAGAAGTGAATTAAACTAATAATTATATTATATAATAACAATAAAATTCCTAACGGTTTACAAAGTACTTTCACATACATGTATTTTTGATTCTCATTTCCCCTCCTTGTGGGTTTGAATCTCTACATTTGCTGTGACTTGCTCAAAGGAATATCTAGTCAATAGTGGGTCTGGGAATGTGACAGAGGCAAGCATGTTGAAGTACTCAGAAGTTATCAAAAAAGAGAGAGAGAGAGAGAGAGAGAGAGAGAGAGTCAAGGGGCTGCGATGATCATTCACCCATTTGTTTATTTCTTCAGAGCATACTTTGGAGCACTTACCCTGGGCCAGGTAGCCATTAATATGAAAATAGATTTCTCTAAAGTCTCTTTTTCAAAAAATATTTAATACACTTCTTACAAGATCCATAATTGTGCTTCATTTTCTAGAGCCTCACACCAAGGATCTGATGTTGTAAGACTTTGTGCCATAATTGCCACTTTTACTCAAAATCCTACTTTTTCACAAAATTACTTTTTAGCTCTGATTTCTCATCTTTTGTCCAGAAGCCACTGAACATCTGTTAAAGCACATCACTAATTTCAAACAATTGCAAGGATCTAAATACTTTATAACATTAGGGCACCACTCTCTGAATGATGCATTTACCTAGCTCAACCACATCCTTTCGGTATTATTATTATTATAGACTATTCTTACAGCTTTATGCACGCCTCAATTTTTATTAAAATAGTTTGCCCTCTGACTTGAGAAAGCTTCATCCTTTGAAAAGAAGGATCTTTTAAAACTAGATAGACCCTATTCTGAAGAAAAGAAAAGTTGAATGGGATCAGAGCATATTTTTCCAGCATGAGAGGTCTCAGACATGAAAAGAACAAAGTGTTCTTCCTTCTCCCTAGCATAATATGCATGGAAATAGCAAAAGATTATTAACTTTTCACAAGGTAACTTTTGGCATCAGCATTCTAGGTTGTCATATAAACAAGGCTGATACCCAAACTAGAACTGTGAAGATTCAAATGATTTTTTCTTTGTAAAAAGGTGAGGATCATGTAAGCATCTGGTTTCTTTCATTTAGCAACATTACTGCAGTTATTTTAAAACAGGAAAAAAGGACACTTAATCATGCTCAGTGTTCATATGGGATAATTTTATTCCTTAATTACAGAACTTTGAACTGTGCAAGTAGATTCAGTCATGTCAGTCCTTCTGGGTGAATTTGTAACTAGTTATTAATTCAAAGGGACTCAGTAGGAGTAGGAAAGGGGAATGGACCAAATAATATACTAATTGAACATTCTTTTACAAAATTCTGCATGAATTGCAACCACTATCAGATTTTCCATGATAGACTAGGGACGGCATACTGTAGCCACAGGGCAAAACAGCAGATGGGCGATGGCAGGAAAAAAGTAGTCTCCAAAGTCACATCTGATCATTTTATTGCTTACATTGAAATACAAATATGGATATTATCCAGGAGCTGTCACTGAGCACATATTCTGGTATGACTTACAATATCCATTCATTCCATTTTGTGACCAACAACAAAAAGGCAAAAGCAATTGTATGAGATTATATGTGAAAGGTCCCTGACAAGAAAATAAATATATTTGTCTCAGTCCTTTTATATCTGAACATTTATGTTACAGAGCAGAATATGTATGTAAAAAGTGTGTACTATGGGGCCAAGCATTCTGCAGTGGGCTCAGTATCCTTGTAAAACAAGCCACAGTAGTTCTGTTCTCCAGATTCAAACCCAGAGAAACCAAGCCACTGTCACCAGCTACTCAGGTGCTAAAGCCATCTGAGTGATACTTGACAGAGCCTGAGTTAGATTCAGCATTCCTCAATTCCCAGGGCTCGGCCTGGTTCACAAAGCCCCCTGCGTTCCATACATACATGTTAATATGGTATGAATCTATAAACTTTATATGCAGATGAGAGGGTACCAGAATGAAAGAATCTGTGGATTCACAAAAGCAGAATTGGTTGTCTTTGGAACATCCTTAAACATAATTGAAGAAATGTTTAATTTGTGATAATGCATAGTGCCATGATACTCACTAAGTCTACCATGAGTAAAACTCATTTGGGAAAGTTTCAGCTCATTTCTATGAATTCAATGGATATTTATATCTCCTTAGCTGTTAGTGACCTGGAAGGTCTGTGTTGCCCTGTCATTTCCTTTCCTTTCATTTTCTTTTCTTCTCTTGACAAGTATCTGTGTTCTGTCCAGAAATACAAAAGCCAGCAGATCCTCCATGGACAGCCAGCCCCCCTTTCATGACTGGCACTGGCCTCCACGGGATCTTTTTTGCTGGATCATAGACACAGGCCAGAAAAGAAGCTTTTGTCTAACAGCTTCTGGCTGTGAATCCCTTCATGGCCAAATATAAACTTGGCTAGACAGGGGACAGCCCTCATGGCCATGATGCTAAAGCTACCTAACATTTTTTTTAGAAATATGGACAAAGGTGGACCAAAAAGGAGTCAAAGGCCAGCCCATCTCCTCAGCAACAGTTGAACTTGCTCTCCATGGAGGATTAATTGCTACCCAGCAGCTCGTTACTAACCAGTGTGCTTCAATTGCACATGCTTTCCCCTGGGGTTAGTCTCCTGGAGGGAGATGGATGCTGTCCCTATACCAGTGCCATCAAAGCAATTCTCAATTATAGCACCCTAGACCAGAGGCTGAAAATACCCACAAGGTATAAGTAGCTAACTAGAAGATCCTCCTGGAAGAACAGATGTTGTTAAATATACATATGTTCTAAGCAAATGGTAAGGCCTGAGCACTTTGTGATGCACTACATACCAAAGAACTATTTTAAGAATAATGCTAGTGTTTAATAGAAAAAAGTTTCCAAAGCTAAAATACGTATGAAGCTGAGAACTAGGAAATCTGAATTTCTTCCTGTCCTCTTTCTCTCCCCTATACCACATTCAAATAAACTTATTTGAGGAATATATAAGTATATACATGTAGTCAACTCCCCCATTAAATCATAAGGCCAGAAGGGCAGAGTCAATAATTCTTTTTTTCCTCCACAGCACCTATTACACTGCTTAGCATGTGCTGCATGTCCAAAAAGTATTAATGAGTTCACAGAGATCATTCCTATGGTGGAAATGACTAAGAAGGGTGCAGAGAATAAATACATCTAAACAAGGATATTGCTGTGAATTTTAAAAGGGAGAAGGTCCAGAGAAGAGAAACGATAGATTTCTAAAGTGGTGTTCAGGTCACTAGATACAGGAAGGTTTGCAACACATCAGGCATGCATTTTCATGACAGATAATGGGGAAGGGTGTTAAAAATCAAACCACAGCAGATTTGACTGGATCAAAAGCAATATTCATCTTGAGACTCCTTATGAAGCCCTCCGGTTAGTTAAGGTCATATGGTGTTTGGGAACATATTGAAAGATGCAAAATGTAAAAGGGTTCGGGTATTGCTTCCCACACAGATTGTGGACGGCAAGCTGTGGTTTCAGCTGGACTGCGGTAGTGGCCCTGGAATCTTGGGCATCTCCGGCCGCACTGTCAATGATGGGAGCTGGCACTCCGTCTTCCTGGAGCTCAACCGCAACTTCACGAGCCTTTCCTTAGATGATAGCTACGTGGAACGACGCAGGGCGCCCCTCTACTTCCAGACTCTGAACACGGAGAGTACCATCTACTTCGGTGCCCTGGTGCAGGCAGACAACATCCGCAGCCTGACCGACACGCGGATCACGCAGGTGCTCAGCGGTTTCCAGGGCTGCCTGGACTCAGTGGTGCTGAACAACAATGAGCTGCCTCTGCAGAACAAGCGCAGCAGCTTCGCAGAAGTTGTGGGCCTGACAGAGCTGAAGCTGGGCTGCGTGCTCTACCCTGATGCTTGCGAGCGCAGTCCCTGTCAGCATGGTGGCAGCTGCACAGGCCTGCCCTCTGGGGGTGAGTGCATGGGTGCTATGGGCACCCTGCAGGGAGGGCAGGGGGGGGGCCTGTGATGTATGTGGCAGTGCCACCTGCAGGAGGCACTGCCCACATAGCCATAACTAACCCAGGAGCTCTCCTTGAACGGAGTACTCACACCCAAGATGCACACAGAACTTCTTAATCCTCTTTACCAAAGGGAAGTTTCAGAGCTTGTCTATTACTGTCCAGTTTAGCCAGTCCGTTGCAGAATCCCTCAAGAGCAGTATGATACCCAGGAAACCATAGATGCCATGAATTCTGCCCCTTCCCCTGTCCACCCTAAAACTTTCTAGTCTTCTGTGGCTTGAGCTAACAGGACACCATTTCAAGTTGGACCTTCATGAGCCAACTACCTGTCACTGAAGAATGATGTGTAGCAGTCTGAGTTGCATAAACATAACTCTTCTGGGAGCTACAAGTGGTTGGGGATGAATCTGGCACCCCAAGAATAGAACTATAGTGGAGGCCCTTGGAGCATACTTGAAAGCATATTAAACAGTCTAGTGATGGGGCTCTAAAAAGGAGCAGGAAGTCAAGAATAAGGAGAAGGAGGCTAGGCATGGTGGCCCATGCCTGTAATCCCAGTAGCTCTGAGGCTGAGGCAGGAGGGTCGAAAGTTCAAAGCCAGCCATCCCAATGATGAGGTGTTAAGGCAACCCAGTGAGACCCTGTTTCTAAATAAAATACAAAATAAGGCTGGGGATGTGGTTTAGTGCCCTTGAGTTCAATCCCAGGTACCCAATAAATAAATAAGGAGAGGGAAATGTACATGAAATCTCAGGAGGGATAACTTTAAAGGAGGACATGATGCTTTACCCCAATATTTTTCCCCAAAGATACATTATTAGGAAAGAAAGAGATAAAAAAAAAAGGTGGGAGGGAGAGATTTATAGAGTATTTCTATTGTTTGAGGGAAAAGCCAAGATTATTTACGATCTAGGAGTATAAAGATAAAAGAATCCCTGACTTTACCCAGATGCTGTTTCTGTGTTAAGGTAAACTAGGTCAGACATTCTTCTGGCTGAAATTTGCCACCTCCCAACAGCCCTACCACTGACTCCACTCCAGCCTCTTTGCTGTGTTACTCAGCAGTAGTGTGATTAGCAAATTTAAACCTTCTTCACAAATCACTTAAAAGATTCTGCTGTGTGCATTACCATCTAATGTTTGTGAAGCCCAACTCCAAATTTAGAGTCCATTTTATTATTAGAATGTTATAAACTGTCCGTGAAATGATGCACTGCCGATATACAGACACCAAAGTTGTTTAGACTTGCATATGTTACTGCCACAATGAGGGCCAAGTACCCTGGGGGGAAATTTCTGCCGTCTCAATTTAAGAAATCTATTTGCTGTTTTTACTGTCTCAGCAGTATATGTAAATAAAGGGTTGTTATGGTGCCATAATTCCCGAATGATGGGCAGTAACTATACTTCAGTGGTTCTATAAACCAGCCCATTATGACAAGTCATGGCCAGTTTTTCACCAGGCAAAACAATTCTGCTAGTGTGAGCCATCTACGATATATAAAAGGAGCATATAATTAAATTGGGTTGAAACAGAACACCACTCCATGTCAAATCCTGGGTACACAGCCACAAATTGTAACATACTTTTAAGGATGGCAGGATGTTGTTTTTGCTGGCAGAGCTATGGGCTTCCACAATGGGTTATCTTTAAAATAATAATAATCATTGAGTGAAGGGAAAAGACCATGGAATCTCACTCTTCAATGTGCAATTTATTTTTTTATTGCCATGAAATCCTTTAGTTAAGTATTCAGGGCAGGTATGTTAATTAAATGACTAAGACCCATATAAGAAACAGAAATTTTCTCTATTTTTTAATCCCTTTTGGTTTAATCGAATTTTAGCATGAAGGACCCACCTGCCATATACTTTTCACATGGCCTTGAGAACTTTCCATCCCATCCCTAATGGCCCAGCCTTGCCTAGAACACACTCCCCCCTCCTCCCGCTGCTCTTAACTTCATTCTATTGTTGGTACTGGGGTTGGGACTCTAAATAGGTTCTCTTTCTTACAAAATGATACAGTCTTTTATCAGTTCAATTCTCCCTTTTGTACTTAGGGGCTATGTTTTTCCAAAACAAAGATAGTTTCTTTCCTTATCTCCATCTACACAACTCCCTTCTCTCAAACTTGCTATCTCTGTTTAGTAGAGGGGGCCCCATAGGAGCAGCCTGCCCACCAAAGCTATTCCCAAGCCTAGTTCAGTGGTACTTAGTTCAGCAGCCCCTGAGAGTATGGTCTCCCTTTACTTCCCTGAGGACCAAAAGCACAGGATTCCTCTTCTAATGTGTGAGAAATTACTTACCTACTTCCTGATTATAAAAATGAGGTCTTGGCCTCTAACAAAAGAGGAGAAAGAATCGATTTTCTTGGTCTCATATCAGAGGAATTTTTGATAGGTTCCTGTATCCTACCTGCAAATTCCCCAGTACCAAATAGAGGAAGGTAAAAAAGAAAAGAAAAGAAAGAACCAATAATTTGGTCTTTACCTATATGTATGAAACTGTGTAGTTAATTATAAGGTTACTTAAAATAAAAGGAAAATCTTCTTAGCTATAATAGCTTAGTTTAAAAAGAAGAATAAGACTTGAGATTTTAATGAAAAAGTATTCATGCCCTCAAGAATTCTCTCTAGCTGCCAAGAAGATCTAATCACAGAGACAGACAGTTTTGGGTCCCCAGATCAAAGACTGGGATGCATGCAGCATTCAAAGAGGAAATCTGGGCTAGGGAAAGTAGGATGAAGTGCTTAAAAGGTGACTCCTTGCACATGACAGCACTGAGGACAAAATTTATTTATTTGAATATCTTTCTGTTGTTGTGCCTGTGCCATGTGTTCCTCTAAAATTTCAGGACACATGTTTCAGCATGGTCTTCCCCTTGACCACTGAAGAACACTGAAGCATTGGTCATTTCCTCTCCCGGTAAGAGACTCCATTCTCAAGCTGTGGCCATCCTAGCATATTGTTGCAGAACATTTAGAACCTTGAAGGCAGGCAACCCACAGCAAGAAGCATTTTCTTGCAGGAAAGTAGGGTGTTCCAACCACCCCCAAACCCAATCAAACCTTTGGCACGAATCAGGGCAAGGAAGCCACATCTTCTAGTTTGGAATGACATGGTCAGCGGTTTTTACCAATGTTATAACATTGGCTGCCCCAGAAGGAAGCCATAAGAACCCCAGGGGAGTCAGATCCCAGAATGCTGACTTGTAATAAGAGGGTAAATATGACTCTGTAAATCAACCACAGAGGGAAGGCTTTCTCTCTTGGTAATGCCTTAAGATTATATGTATTTCATAAACATGAACTGGAAATAGCAACCACCCTGGAAAAGAAATGGTTAGGGCCTATTCTAACCCTTACATTTCCAGACCCAGTAAGCAGAGAAAAAACCCAGTAAGCACCCACAATCTGAATAAGGAGTGCCCAATCCTCTGTGTCTTATTGTACTGAGCTCAAGCCTACTAACAGAAAATATAATTGAGGCTAAACTATCATTTGGTAAAGCAATGCACTAAGTCAGGCAGTCATTAGTCCAGAAATAGACACTCAGACAGTTTTGCATGAGACTAGAAGCCTAAGGCCTGAAATGAAAAGTTGGGGTACATTTTTAGTAGTAAGACCTTTGCTGTGTGTTTGACACTGGGATAAGGGATTACCTTTTTAAAGAGTTTATTCTCTGGGATATTTAATTCTTACAACAATACTATGAAGTTGGTCTGTTTTTCCCTCCTACTGACCCACTCTCTAAGAAGAAATGGGCCTGAGAAGCTACTAACTAGCTAGCATCACAAAAGTGATGAAGCTGGATTTGACCCAGATTGTGGGAACTCGCCAATCTAGATTCTTGCCCCTTGTTACTCAAAGTGTGTTCCAAAGGCCAGCACCATCATCACTGGGAATGTTAGAAAAGCAATATCTCAGATTCTACCCCAAACCCACTCAATCAATCTGTATTGTAATAAGCTCCCTACATGATATACTTACTGATTTTTCTATTTCTGAACTACCCTGGAACCTGGAGAAAATTCTAGTTCTTTATTTTTTGTCATATTATAGACATGCAGGTACAACTCTAAGATACATTAGATCATCTGAAGACCTTGTTAAGATGAGACAGTGTTATTTTTTAAAGTTTCTTGATTATTAATGAAAAAGGAAAACTTATTTACTGGCTCCATCAATTGCCATCCATATCAGAGGTACTTTCTGTTAGGTGACATTGTATTTGCAAATTATTGCGCTTACTGCCAAGAAAAGTTTGGAGGTAAGGTGCCCAACATACAGAATCTGAATCCACAAGGGAAGAATTTTGACATTTTTATTTTAAACAAGTCTTCAGGATGGTTCTATGCACATCCAAGTTTCAAAACTACTGACATTTACAATCTCAATGACTCTGTGCTTGCAGGAATGCCCCTTGGTGAGTTCCAGGAGAGGTAAACAGACATAGGATACAGGGAAATTGAAAGTCAAATAAACAGCCTATATTTTTTAAAAAAAACTTTTTGATGAAAAATGGAACATTGTTCCCATGTTAAGAATTTTGGGTTACCCTGAGCTCCTCTCAAAGATAAAAATAATAGTGTCTGTCTATTCTCTCTAAGCAGTCATGAGTATTCTGGCTATCAAGTTGCATGAAATGGATTCCCAAGTGTCGCAAATGCTCAGATGTTTTGGGCAACCAGGTCCTCATGCCACTTTGAGCCAGGGTTAGTTGAGTATTTTGTGTCCTTAACTTGTAAGGAATCACTGGTATAGATAGATTGGATCTATCAATCTTCAATTGAGTGTCTGCATTATGCTGAGCTCTGTGTTGAATTCTGGGCCTCACTGCTGTCTCCGTGATCAATAAATGCCACTTGTGCAGCCTCCTTCTCCTCACAGATGGTTTAGGGAAGTTGAACAGGGTTCCCATATATGTTTCACCTACTGGCCCATTGA